GTCTTAATGTAAAAATTACGAAAAAATGTTAGTGTCTTCTTCAAAAGCGAATATCTCCAATAAAAATAAAGCTAATGAGATGAACTAAAAAACAAACTATCGAGAAAGGATAATAATGACTAAAAAACTAAATGACAAAATTATTTTTAAATTTCTTGCTGTTTTAACATATTCCACAGGGTGTTTCAAACTTTCACAGAAGTATCAACATTTTGTTTTCCCTCGTATAATTAACATATGGGGAGTTTCATGTTTAATTTAGAAAGATATACTAAAAAGTCAAATAATTTGGCTACAAAAGAAAGAAAAATATATATTAAACTTTAAAATACACCAAAGTTGATGATTAGAATATAAGCAGAATAGGTATAGCTTATGCATTAGATTCATTTATTTCAATAAATTTACTTAGAAAACAAATTTAAAAAATTCAAAAATTAAGAAGGAAATAAATAAGAATTTACTAAAATAAAAAATTAAAAGCAACGGAAAAAAATGGGTAAACATTTTAGTATTTTATCTATAAAACACAATAAAGAAGGTTTCACGTTAATACATTCACAATAATTGAATTTCGAGGTAAAAGTCTCTGGGCACTCCACTAGTACGCATGCGCAGTGGCGCAGTAGGACACAACATTGAAAAATATATAGCGATACCCAATAAAGTCATATAAAGCACTTTCAAATCAAACAACAATACAAAAACCAAAAATCAAAACACACCGCTAAGGGTTGTGCTCTCAGTCAGCTGTCAGTTTTCGGTTATCGTATCGTATGTCAGCTCCGAACCGAAAGTCCGAAAACTGTTTATTTATCTGTCAAAATAGCGGTTATGGTTACGTATCCGTTAACCGTACCGTTGATTTTTTTTAAAGCAACGAAAACTCCCTAATATATCTTTCGGAAACGGTAAGTAGCTACAGTACGTCTGCTGGATCTGTGTCTATGAAAGGAATGCGGACAAAAAACATTTAAATAAACAGCAATATATTTTATACGTCGATTTGACGAGTACCTCACCGCAAATCGCTCCGCCCAAATATTTTATTGGCTATTTGCAAATTTGTCGAATTTTTATTGATGGGACGCGTCGCCTAATTTTTTACGAAAAACATCGAGAGAATATCGTTTCCCCTCTCATGGATACCCCGTAGCTACAGAACGGACAAACGTACTGTAAACGAGAAGTGAAACCTCTACAGATAGACCTAATAGAGCCCTATATTTACCCTATTTAAACTGTGTTTCGAAAATACATAGAGATATTTAATTTGAAATATTTCGATTGTCGATTTTCTGGATACATCTATTTGAAAAAAATCGATTTTTTTATTTATTAACTTTTTCCACTTTTCTCACCTGGTACGGTTAGAAGACGTTAATGTAATAATCCTAAATGCAACTTGACACCCCTTTTAAGTTATGTTGTATCTTAAGAAAATTGCCGAAAATTAAAGAATAGAATTTTTATTCTCACCCTGTATGTACTTTTTTGACAAACTGAGTATACTAAAAAAATTAACTAATCAATCTGCATTAATCCATGTCCAAAAATTTTTCAAATTAAGTATCTTAGCAATGAAGTGAAAAAAGCTCGATTTTGGCCGGGGAAATTTTTTGAGATGTTGTTTTTTTCAACTTTTTTAGAGTATCCAACAAACCCTTCAATTCTAAGTCCCACTAGTCAACTCGCATACCCAACAATGTTCCCGTTTGCTGTAGCCTTATTTTATGAACGGCGGAAAGTAAAGCCTAGCCTAGTATAGAGCAATTTTTCAAAAGCAAATGTGGATCCATTGGTAAAGCCGCTTTGAGAACGAGAGGTCCTAGGATCGTGTCCCAAACCAAACTAAATGTTTTTATTTATCTACAGTTATCGGTAATAGCAATCAAAATATGCCGTAAGCGTGTTTTGATTGCGTTGGTTAGTCTCTGGGGTAAGTTTTTAGATTGCACGCGAAATACCCGACCGTTTATGCATGCGTGTGCAGAACTGCGAAATTAAGGGACAACAAACGGTAACATTGTTGAGTATGCGATTTGACTAGTGAAACGTAGAAGCTAGTTCATTTATGCACCGTCAGATAGACCATTGACGGCGCCCACCAATGGCCTATTTTTGGTTTCTTAGACTTTCATGGGAACCTGTAAAAAACGATTTATAGTTGAAATTTTGCCAAAATCGAAAAACGCAAATATCTCGGAAACGGTGTAGCTAGAGGACCAGTGAGGCCTCTATGGATAGAGCTAGTGTCCCTATCATCTAAAGAATATAAGGATATGCAACGCCGATATACGGGCTGCAGCAGAATTTGTGAGATTAGACGCCATTTTTTTGATGGCGACGAATGAGGCATCAGCTGGCCACCAGCGAAAATTTTAGCGATTTTTAATAGTTTGTGTGTAGTGATCTTTGTACAAACTTTATTAAAATGGTGATTAGTTGTTCAGCTTCCAAGTGTAAAAGCAGCGATAAGAAACAACCAGGAGTTACGTTTCATAGGTAAATAAACAGTCCGTTCCTTCTTTTTAGCGTTTTCTTAGTTTAATTATTGAATTCGATAATTATTTTTCTGATATTATACCTATGTACTTGATGTGAGCTATACGTCGATACTAGTTTTGTTCCTATTCTTAACATTTTAATACGTTTTTTTCGTAATTAATTAGTATGATACCACCGTATACACCATAGGCGTAGTCAAAACATTTATCAAAAAATATAAATATCTCTTCAAACGGCTAAGTTAAGAAAAATATGTGCCACGGCACTGCTTGGTGACATCGTAACAATTTGCTCTCGGGTTATTTGTCCTTTGCTCTCGGGTTATTTGTCCTTGGATTCATTTGATCCCTATAATCGCCCCATTTAAACTGTGTTCCGAAAATTTCTAAAAATTTTCCCGGCTAAAATAGAGCTTTTTTCACTTATTCCAAGTTGAAAGATTTTTAGTAGTGGATCAATGCAGATTGATTAGTTAAATATTTTAGTATATACACAGTTTGTCAAAAAAGTACATTCAGTGAGAGTCAGAGAGAAAAAAAATAAAAACCGATTTTTTAATTTTCGGCATTTTTTTTTTAAATATAACATAACCTAAAAAGGGGACGAATAGAATTCTTACATTAGCGTCTTATAACCGTATCAGGTGAGAAAAGTGGAAAAAGTTAATAAATAAAAAATTCGATTTTTATCCAGATCCAGAGAATCGACAATCAAAATTTTTAAAATCAAATATCTCGGAAACTATGCATTTTCGAAACACAGTTTAAATGGGGTGAATATAGAGCTCCACTAGCTCTATCCGTAGAGGCTTCAATGGTCGTTTAGCTACTTACCGTTTCCGAGGGGAAACATCTTATTTTTATTTACACCTTTATTTTTTTTCTGCTGGTATAACTTTAATGTAGTGACCAAATGTAAAAATTTTCGCAGTGACTTTCACGCTTATTTTCAATATTAACACCTTAAAAATTATTTAGAATCATAAAAAGATGAGAAGAGGGTCAAACTGTAAACCAAACTTGCCACTTGAAAGTTTTGGCAACACTGCGAGAGCGAGTTTTGTAACAGCCAGAGTTGTGGAACAACAAATGATGGATCTTGCACCAGGACAGCGCACCTGTCCCTAACGTGCTGCCTGTGAATCGTTCTTTAGCCAAAAGAGGCACTGCAGTGCTCGAACACACGCCGTACTTGCCTGGTTTAGCAGCCTGTAACTTTTTTCTATTTCCGAAGATCAAGTCCACTTGAGAGGAACCCGGTTGGAATCCATAGAAGACATGAAATGAAAGTCGACGGAGCCTCAAATTTTTATTACAAACGAAGATTACCAGCATTGCTTCGACCAATGGAAAAAAGAAATGGAACGGTGTGTGACGAGGCAAAGGGGGGTATATTAATGGGGAAGAGTGGAGTGTCGAGTAATTTTAAAAATTAAACTCGTTTTCACAAGCAGTCTCGTTGTTTAATAGCCAGACCTCGCAATCTTAAAGTTACAACCCTATTTTTTGAATTACCTTACCTTTGCAAAAACGAATACACCATCACGTAAATGGCACGTACCTTTAATGGTGCGTTTAGACTTGAGCGCTCACGGCATTCTTTCGCGCTCTCGGCTCCGTTAAAATTAAAAACTTATTTTTCGACGAATGAAGTGATCCATTTGTGCTCGCACAGCAGAGTTGTGTTGGCGAAAATAATGGACGACCAAGAAATAGTCGAGGCTGCAGTCTTTGTTATGCACAGCTTAATTATTAAAAAGAAGAAAAATCGAAAACATCGTCGGTGGTGGCAAACCCAAATTTTTAGAAATAGATATAATTTACTGCAACAACTTAGTGCCTGAGAAGGGCTATGATCAGTTCAAAAACTTTACAAGAATGACCAGGCCCGACTTTGAATATTTACAAAATTTAATAACACTAAAAAATACGAACGAAAGATACAAATTTTAGAATAGCAATTTCATTAATATCGACATATTCAATATTAATTTTATTTACAAGATCTTACCATGCGTTATTTTTTACAAAGAATGTTTAACATCCCATAATATAGGCAACTTTTCATATTCTTAAATTAATAATAACCGAGCTTCATTGATCCACTCCAAAATTTTAATAAAGAAAACGAAAAAAAATCACACACGCACGCACAAACGCAGACAAAACAAATTGCCGGTGCAAAGTGAGCTTTCGCGCACACATAAAATCCCTTTGAGCACGGACCAAAAACCGACACCAGACGGCTCACGTTGACCAGACCCGCGCCCAGACAGTATGTGATAAATAAATATGCTATTTTGTCTTTGTAACTGCGAGATAACCAATTGAAAAATTTCTTATGGTTAGGTTAGCTTATGTTATAAGGATATTTTAGTTAGTTTATATTGGTTTATTCTGAGCCAATCTAAGTTCCGCCCAACTCTATGACGCAAGCACTTTAGTTGTCTGTTCACCTTGTGATATTAATATATAAACTTTACATCATTATAGGTGGGTCTGTATTACCCGAGAGAAAACCTGAAATAAAAAAAGTTGTAGGCGGTTTTTCTGGATCATGTACCACAACTCGGTATTGGGATTGTTGTAAGCCAACTTGTGCATGGAAGGAAAACATTGATACCGATGTTGGTAGGTTGATTTTAGTAACTAGTTGTAAATATAGTGTTATGCAATTCTTTAATTGAAAAAAAAGTTTTCGATTATTTGGTTATTTTAAGTATTATTATGAACGTAGTTTAATAGGTGGGTCAAATTGGACGCTTTTAAAGGGAAACATCCTTTTCTGTAGGAGATAGACGAAAACTAATATCGGTGTCTGGAGTTCAATTTTGATCAAAAACATGATGGTAAAAACCGCGCATCGATATCTGTTACCGTTCCAGAGTTACGGGGTGTTTTTCAAAAATGTGCATTTTTACCAAATCGCTGGCGCTGTCACTTTTTTGCTATGGAAAATTTTATATTTTTGTGAAAACATTTCCCAAGCACCTTTTTACGTAGAATTTAGTAGTTGGGATATCTTGTATATTTTTAATTCATTGGAATTAATTCTTGGAAAAGAATTTAAAATTACTTTTCCAAAAATATAGCATACCTACTTGATATTTTGCTCGATTCCTCTTCAAAATATAGATTTTTTAAAAATTTGCCCACTTTGAATAAGTAAGCTTTGAACAGCGCCGGCTGAAGTGCAAAAAAATTCTAAATTTGAGCAGCAATTAAAACGAAAATAATATTTGCAATGACAGATATAGAATTGAATAACAATATAAACTATATTTAACAACATCAACACGACCATTAAACTATCTCTAATGACAATAAAAATTAACAGCAAAACGAGACAAATATCGACCGTGTTCTGTTATGGACAGACCGTTTATGAACATTTCTCGCGGAATTCATTAACTCAGTGAAGGTGAAAGATACCTTCGCATAACCTCTAACTATTTCTAATTCTTGTCTAGATAATACGGGCGATTTAAAAAGAAGCACCTTTATTCTTCCACAAAGATAAAAATCCACTAACAATAACGGGCACTAAATCCGGCGCCCTCGACGGCTAACGGCTGGGAACCAGGGCCAATGAAGTGAAATATTCAAAATTGTTCCAGCAAAAGTTTCCCAATTATGACGGGTGATGGCGCTGATCGTCAAGATTTTTGGACAGGGATTTTGCTTACCGACAATACGACGTGAGCTACGACCGGACCAGGACCAATCAGAATGATTAGTCTTTCTTGGACATTTGCCGCGGAAGTGTGTGTTAATTTCTGTTGTGATAAGTGTGGTTGTGTTTGCAGTTTGATTTTTCGGTTTTGATATTATGTTAAAATTAATTTTCAAGTATTGTATCACCTGTTTTTATGTAATAGTACTTTTTTTAGTTCTATGATCTGATATGTTATGATTTGTTAATGTTTGTTTAACAATGTTACACCAAAGAGGTTATACTTAACATATCAATTTGCATAGCCCAACTTTTTTATCAATAAACTTTGTAGATTTTCAGATTATTTAATTCCTTTTGTTTCCGTTTGTAATTTTATTTTTAAGACATATTATGTGATTGTTTCAGATAATATGTTTTAAAAATAAAATTGCAAATAGCGAATAAAAATAATTAAAATAAAAAAGTGTATTTTACAATTCCCCCCGGCCCCGCACCCCTTTAGCTAACCTGTAAATGTCAGCTTTGTCGAGAGATGGCGTTACGAAAATGGAACCGATTTATTACAAGGAACTTGGGCATCTTTTTCGTTAGTATATTCTGTGCTGGGAACGTTCTGAGGCGGTACCTCGTCTTGCTGGAAAAATATGTTTTCGAGTTCCATTAGGGCAGATCATCAATAAGGGGCCCAACGCCTACTAGTTAAAAGTGGCGAACTTATACAAATTCTGTATTTCGAAGGGGACTATAACAAAATATCAAGTGTGCTATATTTTTGGAAAGGTAAGTTTAAGTTCTTTTCACTTAATTAAAAATATACAGGGTTCCCCAAATAAAAAAATCATTTTTTCTGATAATAAACACAAAAATGCTAAATGTTTTCACAAAAATACGAAATTTTCCATAGCAAAGAAGTTACAGCAATTTGTTAAAAATGCACATTTTTGAAAAACACCCCGTAATTCATAAAGGGTTTCATCATCATATTTTTGATAAAAATTGAGCTCCAGACACCAATATTATTTTTCGTCTCTATAGAAAAGGGTGTATCCCTTTAAAAGCATCGAATTTGACCCACCCTGTACATAAATAACATTTTAAGACAAAAAGGTAATACATATATCTAATTTAAATGACAAATATTAGGTACTTTGACTTGCGTAATGAACTACATATTTATTCTACTCAGATATTTCAATTAGGTATACTAACTTAATACGCACAACTGCAGTCCCTGGGACTACACTGTAAGTAGCTATAACTAAGCGGTAGTTTAATAGCATGTGTGACAGCTAGAATCTCTTGTGAAAGATTCTGATCTCAAATTATAATTATAATAGTTAAATTTATCTAAAAGTTAGTAGTCAAAAATATCAGTAGAAACTTTCATATTCGAAAATATTGTTCTAAGCCTCTTAGAGTACAATATGAAAAAAATGGAGTCAGCGATGGCTATGAAATGATGATTGCTGTCATTTTATATAGAAAATTACATGAGGAATATCATCGATCGCCATTTTTTTTCGATCATACGGTATTATATACTATTTATTATATGATTATTAAATTAGAATAGGCTCTAAAAATATTAAATTGGTATTAAGAAGTTACGATTTAATAAATAGTGTTTAATATATATGTGTGGGTGTGAATTGGATTGATAATTTAAAAAAACCCAAACCAAACCAATCCAATTACGCCAGTGCCATAAAGAGTTGAAAAACAAATGAAAAAACCGTATATTTCTTTTTCTGGTCCCTGGTGTAATTATTGTCCGACCAAATTATCGCCGGTATTAGTATCAGTTACGATTCTTGTTTTTATAAAATGTAAATTGTGCTTGTAGTTCGTTGAGATGAACGAATCGTAGGAGTCGATTCAATATGAGAAATTGAATCGTGTGATTCGATTCACTAATAAGAATCTTAATGCCCATTACTAATTACTATTAAATGGTATTGTCATATTTTAAAACGTTTTACAGATATTTTGTTTTTGTAATTTTGAAAAATATTGAGATTAGTGTTTCCGATATTGTTTTTCGGAACCTCAAAGGAACGACTCGTTTAGTCTTTGCCCACCTCTACTAGTAATTCTATTATTATTTATATCTACCATCTCTAGGACCTGTAAAAGCTTGTAACATCGATGGAGTTAATATAAGTGACGTAGAGGCCCAATCTGGATGTGGTGGAGGTAGCTCTTACATGTGCAACAACCAGCAAAGTATTATTGTTAATTCCACATTTGCTTATGGGTAAGAATTATCGGTATTAGTAATAGTTTACCTTTATTATTTTCTTGCCTGTGTGCGGCATAATTCAACTCACATTTCCCCTTGAAAACAATTGAATATCACTTTCATTTTAACCGGATGTAAGCCTATGCATAAAATTTTAAATGGCGCCACCTATTCTTTTCAACTATGAGTATACACTGTATATCACAAATTGATATTATATTTGAAAATGTCGGCCTAGGGTTCTTTTTTTAGAAAAATTTAAAGTAATTTAATCTATTAAAACAAGAAAACTACATTGTTTCTATTAATTATAAATTATTTATTTCTGTAAATCAACGAAAAATCATCAATAATGTCCCATTATGCTCATATTTTTGAGGATAAGTTTGATGTTTAATATAATTATAGATCTTCTAAACTAAAGCTTCATTCAGAACCTCGCAATTAGTGGAATAAATTAGTGGTTTTCATTACACTCTATAATATACTCTTTAGTTTACGATCATTCACAATGTCTAAAAATCAATTAAAATTAATAGAATATCCTAGCAACATCTTGCGGTAATCAGTTGTATCCATAGAAAAAGCCTAATATTTAGTAGCCTAGTTATTTCTAACCACATTTTCTATTGACGGATGATAAGGTAAAAATGATCTAGCAAATTTTGAAGTATAATTAGTGGAAAATTTAAAAGTTTGGTAACATTTTCCATTAACTGAAAATTCCTCCCACTAATTTTGATGTTCTGAATGCTTACATTCAAATTAGAGGAACAAACTTTAATTGAAACCACTAGTTTATTCCACTGAGAGATGTCATTTTCGCCTTTGATTATCTTCCGTCAAGAGAAATTGTGGTTAAAAATCTGATTAACGCAAGCTGTTGCTAGGATATTCTATTAATTTTAATTGTGTTTTTTAAATATTGTGAATGATCGTAAACTAAAAAGTATAAAGTGTAATTGAAACCACTAATTGCGATGCGAGGTTCTGAATGAAACTTTAGAATATAATCTTTTAATTCTGGCATGTTGACGTCGGAATAAAACCTCAAACCTCTCAATTTTGAAAAATAATAAGAACTTGTGATAGATAAATAGAAAGAAAACATCTATGTAAATATATATAAAATACACGGAATGTCATATAAATAAAATTATTTGCTTACTTAGATTAATTTTCTCTTTAACTAAAAGTGAAGATATTTTTTTAGAAATCGAGTTTTGAAGAACACCCAATGTTTGAAACTCAATTTTCACGTTTATTTGTACAAAACCACCATGAAATAGCCGGATGTGCAATTATTTCTTTGTATACTCGACACAAAGGGTGGACCATTAGTGCAAAGTCCAATATCGTCGTTGTTGAAAAAGATATGAAAAAAGGTTTTATATAGATGTTGCATGGTTAATAAAGGGGCATATACTAAAAATATTTTGTTGTATACAGAGTGTCCCACATAGTTTTTATGGAGTTTTAAGTTTGTTTTTAAATTGTACCCTCCATTTTGCAGTATATGATTGGATTCAGCATAAAATTCTGCAAGTTTTAGTAAGACTATACTTTTTTTATTTGAAGCGGTGTTGCCATTCTATTTATTATTTAGGTACTAAAACTTTTAAAAACACTATATCCGAAAAGTGTTAAGAACTGGAGTGAATATAACTTTATTAATATTTATCTATAGGTATTTTCCTAAACACCAAGGATAACAGAATAAACCCACCCAGGAAAGTTTAAATTATCATATCATATCTCTATTTTTTCAAGTGCACACATCTTGTATATTATTTTTCTTTTATATGCAGAACTAAATAATATTATTGCTTGTTGATATTTGATTGTTTTCAACGGTAAAATACCAGACAAAGATAATCAGATTTAATAAAAATTTACTGTTGAAAGAGGTATAGAAAGAGGTATATGTAATATAATACCTCGAATATCTGCAAAATCGCTGAAAATTTTAGAATACTTTGAATACAAAAAAAATAATTTTTTAAGTCTCTATCTAAAAAAAATAAAATACAGGGTGTTTTATTTTAAATACTGCGATGTTGGCGACGACATCGCCATATATAAATAATTACCCTGTATAAGATAATGTAAACGTTCCTTCGCGAGATTATTAAATTTTGTTATCCTTGATATTTAAAAAATATAGCTAAGTATTAATAAAGTTGAACTTACTCTAGTTTTTAACCACTTTTCGAATATTATATTTTAACCAAAGTTTTAATAAATATGCAATAGAATGGCAACACGGCATAGTGCGAGAAATAATATTAGCATAAATATATATACAGGGTTGTTCACCACATACGACACGGAATATTGTAGCTAAACGATTAGATTTTTATAAATTGTAAGTTTTGGGTTCGTTGAAGGACTATTAGAGCTACAATTTAAAAATATTTTTACAAGATACAGAGTGTACCAAATAAGTAAAAAATATTATAGTTGTATTTTTTTAAATGGAACACCCTGTATATTATTCTATTTTTGGATTCTACGATTAAAATAAAGGTAAATTTGGTTAGGTTTATCACACTTAACCTTACCGTTTTTAAATATTTTCAATTTTATGAAATTGCAGTAAAAATTTTAAGCCTTCATTTCTCCAAAGGATATCAAAAGTTTTTAATACTAAATATTTACTGACGATTATTTATTGATCAGATATTGTGTTGTAATAACAAAATTTACTACCTTATACAGAGTGTCCAAAAATGTATATTAAATATTACTAGCTTTTAAACGGCAATAACTTGTTTAATTTAAACAGAACACCCTATATATTTTAGGTGAATCAGATGCACAATATAATTGTCTATCAAATTGTATTATACCATTTTTACCCATCTCTTCAAGTTTTCGTAGAAAATGCATTTTCTTATAATTTAAACCTCATTTATCACTATACCCATGGAATATTGACATTTCAGATTTTTTTAAAGAAACATATATGTATAAAATGTATTGCAAGCCCATTGGTATACAAAAAAAAACTATTTAAATCTTTGTGAAAGAGTATACCAATTAAATATACATATCCATTATTTCCGACCAAAAATTAGTTTTAGCTTAATTAATAAAGTATTCTAAATAAATGTGTGTGTGAATTTGGCTCAGAATCAATATAATAATAAGTTATGAAGATGAACGTTTCTGTTTTTATAAATAAGCATTCGTCAAAAAATGAAATAAAATGTATAAAGTGTTACTTTTTACCACACTGTCTAATACACACACAAAATTCAGTTTTTGAGTATTTGGAGCAAATATTTATTAATCACGTAAACAGTCAATTAATGTAGTTTGAATGCTGGGATCATATTAATTGGCCCTTGTTAACAAAAAAATATTTAAAACAGTTTTTTTATTTTTTAATGAAATAAGCGAACTATATCGACAATATTAGTATCTGTACTCTTTGAAAATTTGTTACATCTTTAAAAATAATCTAAAATGTCAATATTTCATAGGTATAGTAATAAATGAGGTCTAAATTATAAGAAAATGCATTTTCTACAAAAACTTGAAGAGATAGGTAAAAAATGGTATAATACAATTTGATAGACAATTACATTGTGCATGTGATTCATGTAAAATATATAGGGTGTTCCATTTAAATTAAACAAGTTATTGCCGTTTAAAGCTAGTAATTATTTAATATATATATTGAACACTCTGTATAAGGTAGTAAAATTTTTATTATAGCAACACAATATCTGATCAATAAATAATCTTCAGTAAATATTTAGTATTAAAAACTTTGATACCCTTGGAGAAATAAAGCCTTAAAATTTTTAGTGCAATTTCATAAAATTGAAAATATTTCAAAAACGGTAAGGTTTAAGTGTGATAAACCTTAGTCAAATTTACTAGCTATTTCAATCGTAGAATCTAAAAATAGAATAATATACAGGGTGTTACATTTAAAAAAAAAATACAACCATAATATTTTTAACTTATTTGGGACACTCTGTATCTTGTAAAAATATTTTTAAATTGTAGCTCCTAATAGTCCTTCAACGAACCCAGAACTTACAATTTGTAAAAAAATCTAATCGTTTAGCTACCATACTCCGTGTCGTATGTGGTGAACAACCCTGTGTATATATACATATATATATATATATATATATATATATATATATATATATATATATATATATAGTATATATATATATATATATATATATATATATATATATATATATATATATATATATATATGAGTTATATATATATATATATATATATATATATATATATAGTTTATAATATATATATATATATATATATATATATATAATAGCAAAAAAATATGCAGAATTTTATGCTGAATCCAATTCTGTACAGAAAAATGAGGAGGGTGCAATTTAAAAGTACTTAAAACATGTCCAAACCTTTTTTTGGGGACACTGTATACATCAAAAAGATTTTAGAACACGCCCCTCTATAAGCCATGCAACATAGTATAAAACTTTTTTTCGTATCTTCGATATGGACAACGATTCCTAGCACTAATGAGCGACCCAGTATAAGCATAAATGGCTAATTAACAGTATTTCAGATTTGCTGCCGCTGTCTTTATATCACCACCTGAAAATCTTTGTTGTGCATGTTTCCTTGTTAATTTCCAAAAAGGCGAATGGGGTGACTGTGCTGGAAAACAGATGATTGTCCAACTGACAAATACAGGCGGTTCTAGCAGTGTTAATGGCACCGAAAACAACATTGAAATTGCCATGCCTGGAGGTAAAATAAATATCAGAATCTTTATATATTACATAAATATAATCTTTTTTTGGTTTAGGTGGCGTTGGGTATTTTACAGAAGGATGTAAAACTCAGTGGAATGCTCCAGATCAAGGATGGGGTGAACAATATGGAGGAGTTACTACTGAAGATGGCTGTAATGATCTTCCTACCCAACTACAACCCGGATGCAAATTCAGGTCTGTATGTTATATTTGAACTGATTTTTTGTTTACTCTCTCTTTAATAGTTATATATATATATATATATATATTTTATATTATAGATATTTTTTTCTCATTTTAACTTTAAAGAGTAATTATTTATTGTGTCTAATGTTTATTTTTTTATAGAAATCTAATTGTTATTCTTTTATAGATGGGAATTCTTAAACGGATGTTCCAACCCGCCAGCGACCTTTGAACAAGTTGTTTGTCCTCAAGAAATTGTAGATATCTCAGGCTGTAAAACGGATTAATTATTAATAAAAACTTGGACAATATATTTGTTTTTATTTGTCGTTAATTGAGTATAACTATTTATATATATATATATATATATATATATATATATATATATATATATATATATATATATATATATATATATATATATATATATATATATATATCTTTATATTTCTGTAAGATATCTCTCCCTAAAATGCTATCGTATTTAATAGGAATTTATACAGGGTGATCCCCGAACTGTATTCCGGAAACTTCGGCAGCATATCCTACATATAAAATTAAGTACAACAGTTCGTATAAATATATGTCCTAAAATGGCTTAGTTTCAGAGATACCGAGTGTAAAATTTCCATTTTTATTTTAGATTTTTACGAAATAATTTTTGATGTGACGTCAATATTTGTATGAAAATTGGTGTCTGGGAGTTTTTTGATATGAGAGATTTGATTATGATGTCAATATGACTCTTACTTGTAGAGGGCGCCTCCTATATATTTTTAACTGGTTTAAAGAGTAATAACTGTAGAGTAAGTACTAGCTGAAGTGGATGCGGATCTTTCTGCCTTCAGGTCCTTCTTTTCAATGGAAAAACTTCAACAGCTTCAGAGAATTAGAGAAAATCATACCAAGTATTTCTCCAATGGCTCTCCAAATAAAAAGAAAAATTTTAGGTGAAATGACGTGAACAGAGGATCAAGCACCCTCTGAAAACTAGACGATAGCAAGCTTAGTGTTTTTTTAATTAATATTCAGTCCTTAAGACATAAGACGGGTGAATTATATATTTTATTAGAAGAGCTCAATTTTCCAGAAATTGTTGCCATAACTGAATATTGGTTAAATATGAGATCAGCCTGTATTTGTCAAAAATTACAGTACATTAACTAGATTCAATAGAAGTAACTCATCTCATGGAGGTACTATGATAATGTCTACTAACAACGACTTTTCGGCAGTAACTAAGTTCGATACTATAATATCCGAAAAAAATTTTGAATTTTCCGTCGTTTATCATAATGCTTTTGACCTCTGTATTATTTGTATTTACAGAACACCTGACTCTGACGTACATATTTTCAGTCAAAAATTGCTAAGCTTGCTTGAATCCCTACCTATAAAAAGTAAATTAATTTTGTGTGGCGACATAAATATTGACTTTTCCAGTGTGTGCGCAGCTAGGGAGTCTCTCCAGTCCATTTTTGATTCTTTTAGTATACTCATGCATACTGACTCACCAACTAGAATAACTAAAACTGGTTCTAGTACTATAGACGATGTCGTGTCGTCTTTTGACCCGAAATTCGTTGACTGTAGAGTCCTTCACTCTGGTTTCTCTGATCATGAGGCAGTATTGACAAAATTTTTGCCAAAATCCAAATGCAACAATACCTCGCGCAAATTGGGCCGTATTTTTTCGGATAAGAATTTTCTAAATTTTCACCACCTATGTCTAACAACTGAGTGGGTTGTCCTCTTGGCTGACGTCGATTCCGAATTTTCTAGATTTATGGATACCTTATTATCTGGCGTACAAGGCGTTTTCTCTTAGGCCTATCAAAATTAACCAAGGTATACCCTGGTCTACTACAGGCTTGCATATATCTGCAAAGAACATGCGCTCATTATCTCACCTTAAGAAAATCACGGACAGCGTCTTCTTTTATAATTACGTGAAACTTTATAGAAAGGTTTATCATAAGACTATGAGAGCTGCGATGGACATTTATTATAATGCGAGGCTAGCCAAAGCCGGTAATGTTGCTAGGGAGACTTGGGCTATTGTAAATGACTTAAGGAATAAGACTTCTTCGTCTGGCACAGTCTTTAATTCACCTGAAGATTTAAACACTTACTTTGTTAATGTGGCTAAAAATTTAGTGAACACCATAACTCCTTCCCATGATTCACTTTCATATCTCCCTAAAACAAATGAGAATTTACACAGTTTCTTCTTCACGCCCGTAGCATTAGATGAGCTCCGTAGTACAATTAATAGTATTAAAAACAAATCCTCATCTGGGACTGATGGGCTTACTCTCAAAATGTTCTCTGAACTTCCTGAATGCACATTAAACCATCTTACTACTTTAATTAACGAGTCATTCCAAAAAGGAGTTTTTCCAAACTGCCTTAAGACAGCAATAATTATTCCGCTGCATAAAGGAGGAAATAAAGATGAAGCTTCGAACTATCGCCCAATTGCACTCCTGCCACATTATCTAAGATCATTGAAAGATCGGTTAAAAAAAGGTTTCTATCTTTTCTACTTAAATTTAAAATACCTACTACCTACCCATCAATTTGGATTTCTAAGTAACAGTTGCACAAATGATGCTATGTTCGATCTTTTTAATAATGTATACTCTAGCCTGCATAACCATCACTCTAGAGCTACAATTTTCTGGGATTTTTCTAAGGCTTTCGACTGTGTAAATCATAATATCATAATATATTAATTAAGAAATTGCAATACTATGGATTCAGGGGAGTGCCGCTCGAAAGGCTCAAGTCATATCTTGGCAACATAAGGCATGCAGCTTGTGAGGATTGATACGTCTATGTCTTCTTGTAAGCCTATAGAATGTGGTGTCCCTCAGGGTTCAGTACTTGGCCCTATTTTGTTTCTGATGTTTATCAACACATTGCAAATTTAGACATTAGCGGTAAAATCTGCCTCTTCGCAGACGATACTAGTTTCACATGGAGCGGCCCAGATGTTGCGGCACTATATGATACTATATCCAGTGACTTACGCACCATTAAATCTTGGTGCGATTCTAATCTCCTATGCCTCAATCTATCAAAAACTAAAGTTTTGTCATATAAAAGTACTATACAACCTTTTGTACTAAATAACCCCACTATTGACGTCGTAGACTCTGTGAAATTCTTATGACTTGTAGACAACTCGTTAAAATGGAACTTTCACATCGAAGCTCTATCAAAGAAACTAAGCGCTACCTGTTTTGCGCTAAGATCAGTTTCAAAGGAGCTTAACTTATCAACCTCTAGAATAGCCTATTATGCCCTTTTTGAGTCACATCTTCGTTATGCCCTTTCATTCTAGGGTACTTGCTGCGCAACAAAATTTGATCGTATTTTCAGACTTCAAAAGAGAGCAGTTCGATATTTATTGGGACTGAACAGTAGAACTCACTGCCAGAATTTCTTTAAAAACTTCAAAATACTCTTCCTTCTTTATTCATTTTTGAATCCGTTTGCTTAATCCGCAAGCGCATATCTGCTATTCCCGAAAGGCCATCCCATAACTATCCACTTAGGAATGCGGAGCACGATCTTTATCTGCCAACCCCGAGCTCAGAACTAGTTAAAGGTTCAATACTGTACAATGCCAAAGAAATGTACAATCATCTGCCTTGTATATCAAGTCGCTTTCATTCTTTCCCGCATTTCGCAAAGCTCTGAAATCATACTTACTGGAGAGAGCCCTATATGCGGTAAACGACTTTTTTGTTGATGTTTAATCATGAACAATTTTGAGGTTTAAAATGTTGATCATCTCACACACTAAATATATCAGAAGATTCCTATCCTTCAATAAGAAGAAGAGAGACAACCGTTCCCACCAAGACAATTATGCTGACATATACTTTTTTACTTTTTATTCTAATTAATTTAATTCAGTAGTTGATTGTCAACCATCATAGCATACACATGTACTAAAACCAATTTTTTTTGTAATAAATAAATTTTTAAAAAAGCATTTCTGAGTGTTCGAGAGTTATTTGGCGCAGTCGGGTAGGATACACAGAATTCCCGTATCGAACGTGAATTTTCGTTTGACTGTGAACAGATCCTAGACAGTTGTTCGCGAAAAGTGGAAAGTGTACTGGCGGCTCTTCAAAAATCAAGAAACCGACCTCGTATTGGACCAATACACAATTCGCTCAAGCAGAACATCGAAGTTTGGAACAACATTGTCCAAATTTGCGAAGAAACCATCAGCGAAGACTACATTGCAGACCTGGTGAATTTCTTCATAAAAAAGGATGCTCAGAATCGCTCTCATCATACTGTAAGTACAATTTATGGAAGAACTTTCTGAAATTTTTGAAAAATTAAGTTTTAACAAACCTTCAACTGACTCTCAACCAATTAACGAAATTTTACAAAGAAATTTAAATTCAAATATAAAGAAGATGACACAAACTTTCAAAGCTGAATATTTAAATTGTCTGCCTGAATTCGACGGCAATCCCAATGAATTAAATAGGTATATTTCTCTAAGCGAATCGTTAATAAATAATTTTTATGACCGTAGTAATCCAAATAAATTTGAAAATACTTATTTAATGAACTCTATAATTTCTAAGCTTAAGGGAAACGCAAAAATAGTTGTAAGCATTCATAATACAGCCACATGGGAAGATTTAAAAAGTGTTTTAACCAGAAACTTTGCTGATCAGAGAGATGAGTGTTGTCTCAATAGAGATCTAGTAATGTTAAGGCAATCGCCAAATGAAAAACCACAGCAATTTTTAGATAAATGTTTAAATATCTTAAATCTGCTATGTAGTTATGTTGATATTCACGAATCGACTACTGAGGCAAATAACTTAAAGAAAAATTTATATCAGGATATAGCTCTAAAAACTTTCTTGTCTCGCTTACGAGAACCTTTGGGAACTACTATACGTTGCATGAAACCTAGTACTTTGGAAGAAGCTTTACAATGCGTAACTTCTGAAGATAATATTCATTATTTTCAAAATTTTTCTAGTAACAAAAATACATTTAGGCCACCTGTGGCACAAATACAACAATTTAGACCACAAATGCCAGAAGTACCGCGATCTAATTTCGGTTCTTCTCAGAATTTACCTTTAAATTCGCATACTCAAAATAATCAATTTAGACAAAATACTTTTCCTAGCAGTTTTTCTAACCTATAAATATAAAGCCTAACGCCTAACCCTAACTATCAACAACCGAAATTTTTTACTAACTCCCAAGTTTTTAAAACACCTTCAAATGTTAATGTATTTAAACCTAATCCTGGACAAAAATTCCC